TAGAATGGAAGCGTTTTAGAAATGACTTACAAACATTAAATACTGTGAAAGTACCCAGACATATTTTTAATTCGACGGTTCCCTGTTCGATTCAATTACACGTGTTTACGGATGCATCAGAGAAGGCATATGGAGCAGCTATGTACGTGCGAGCAATATATAATGATAAGACAATAACATCGAGACTATTGTGCGCCAAATCTAGAATAGCACCATTAAAGAAACAGACACTTCCACGACTAGAACTCTGCGCAGCATTGCTGGGAGTCGAATTAGCAGAAAGAGTTAAACAAGATTTAAAGTATCAAAACGTCCCAACCTACTTTTGGTCCGATTCCAAAATTGTTTTGTCATGGATAATATCATCATCTGCCTCATTGCACACATTCGTAGCAAATCGTATTAGCAAAATTCAAGAGATGTCACATGCTGATCAATGGCATCATGTGGCGTCAAAGGATAATCCTGCTGACATCATTTCCAGAGGAATAAAAGTTAAAATGTTCAATTATTCACATATATGGTTTTTTGGTCCACTCTTTCTTCATGGAAGCAACGAATTTTGGCAACAGCCAAACCCAAAGGCATTTAACATCTCAACTGATATCGAAAGACGACAAGGACATACAGTTAACATTATCATTCAAACGACTGGTTCTGATCACATGATAAATCAAATTGATCATCGAAACTCATTCAGATATCTCCAAAGAACAATTGCTTATGTTCGCCGTGTATTTCATCGCACACAATCACCAACAAGAACACTTTCTCCAAAGGAATTACGAGATGCATTAGTCTTCATAATTAAAACTATTCAGGGCTCAGAATTTGCAAAGGAAATCTCTGACTTAAAACAATGTAAAGCAATCAACAGTTCGAGTCAACTAAATACTTTAGCACCGTTCATTGACGAACAAGGTGTACTTCGTGTTGGAGGAAGGCTTGAAGCATCAACATTGCCATATGATGCTAAACACCCAATGGTAATTCCTTACAATCACTCAATAGTGAAATTGATGTTCAAAATGAAACATGAAGAAAATTCCCATTGTGCTCCACAATTATTGCTAAGCATAATGAGACAAAACTTCTGGCCGATTAAAGGAAAGATTATGGCGCGAAACATTGTTCACAGCTGTGTCATCTGTTCAAAGGCAAAACCAAAACTGATGGACCAACTCATGGGCAACTTACCGACTGACCGAGTTACTCTGACTAAACCATTTTTTACCACAGGAGTTGATTACTGTGGTCCGATATGGATTCATTATAAAATTAGAGGAAAAAAGCCAACAAAGGCATATTTAGCAGTATTTTGCTGTTTCGCGACTAAGACTGTTCACCTAGAAGTGGTGAGTGACCAGTCTACCATTTATTCAGAAAATGGTAAAGAAAAGATCATTAAGACCAGTAGTAACAAGGGAATTGACTTCAAATTCATTCCACCAAGAGCTCCTCATTTTGAAGGACTCTGGGAAGCTGCCGTCAAGTCAGCTAAACATTTAATGATTAAAGGAATTTTCAACGCTTCATTGACTTATGAAGAATTGACAACAGTCATAACTGAAATAAAAGCCATGTTAAATTCAAGGCCAATAACAAAAATGTCATCCGATCCAAATGATCTAACAGCGCTTACACCAGGACACTTTCTCATAGGCGAACCACCTACCACTAATGTGGATCCCTATCAAAAGGAGAGCCGAATGAGTTTATCATCACGATGGCGTATAGTTTCTGAACTCAAACAAGAATTCTGGAGAAGATGGTCAAAGGAATATCTCAATGAACTCCAATCAAGGTACAAATGGAAACAACAAAAGGCAAATCTATGCCAAGGTAATTTAGTCATTATTAAAGATGATAATCTACCCATGTACAAATGGCCTCTTGGCAGGGTGCAACAGGTATATGAAGGAGAAGATGGCTTGGTCCGTGTAGCTGACATAAAAACAGCCAATGGGATTTTTAAACGACCATTACGATCATTGGCCCCCTACCCACTGAAGACAGCATTAATCAAAATCCAACAAAACAAAATTCTACTGTCACACAAACAAGACGAACGAATGAACCTAGTGAAGCGTTGCCAAAGCGTCGAAAGATATATGATGGCACATCTTTAATGATGACCATACTTGTGACAATATTGATGATGCCATTAATACTTTCGAAACCCATTGAAGAAATATCATTTCCAAACAAACCCGGAATATATTTTGAAGGAATTGGCACCGTAAATCAAATCATTGGAAGATGGAAAATTATCACTTACTTTAAGTTCGCGCCTATTCGAAAGGAGATCGAAAGGTTTCAAAATGGCACAGCAGCACTTCAGCAATTGTGCCCATTGTTACAGCAACAAGAAAGCTGTTATGAGCTCGTCCGTCAATTCAATAATACTAACATAGAATTACGAACTGAAACGAAGGTTATGACGAGACACCGATCAGCCAGAGGAGCCATCAATATAGTTGGAAATATTGCTAACAAATTATTTGGTGTTTTAGATTCAGAATATGCTGAAACGATTTCTAAAACTCTAACTCAAATCAGCAATAATGAAGATGTACTATCAAAAATGATCAAAAATCAGACTACAGTCATGGACTCAACGCGAAATATATTCAGCAAAACTACAGAAGCCATTGCAGTTAAAATGAATCAACTACAAGATGAGACAAACAAAATAGTAGATTACACTAATAATAATACTAAACGTATTAACCACCTAGAGATCTATACATCACTGGTAACCCAACTTACATGGATGGCACACACATTAATAAAAATTGAAGCTGCTATATTTGATGTCTTAACTGATACTCAGCATGGCAGAATTAATTCTCTTTTGATGTCTCCACAACAACTTCAAGACCAAATCATGAAGATCAAGGCCCATTTACCTCATTCACTTCGTCTTCCATTTAATCAAGAGGACGTTATTCATTTATACACGTTGATATCTTCACAAAGTGGAATCACACAAGATCATTTGATAGTTGTCTTACAACTGCCATTAACCGATCATGAGGATTTCGATTTATTCAATCTCGTCCCAATTCCTGCAACAGTCAACAATACAATGATGACAATAGTTCCAGAAGCTTCATTTTTAGCTGCCACGCCGCATAGAGACCAATATTTTGCCTTAACTCGTGAACAGTATAAGGAGTGTATGACTTTCAAGCAACCAGAAAACAAACTACTCTGTTCGGATAAACAATCAAAATATAACATCGGCTCACAGGCTTACGCTTGCGAATTTAACCTATTAAAAAACATATCTGACAATACGTGTAATGTGCAGGAAACAAAATCGAACATTATTTGGAGTCGCCTGTATCATGCGAACCAATGGATATTCGGGTCAAAAAACAATACAACAGTTACGGCCGTCTGTAAGGGCATCACGACTCATTTAGAACTACAAGGTGCAACACTTCTGAAATTACAAGACGACTGTGTACTCAAACACCAAACGTCTACAATTCAGACACATCAAACGCTTACCGACACCATGTATGAATCTTACATTGCATTTGGTGAGATACCTGTCATTAATAACTCAGAATTATGGTCAAATTTTAAAGGAAGTTCATTGAATCTCAGCAATGAACTTAAACAGTTAAAGCTACTTCACAATACTCTGAAAGATGAAAAATTCGCTGAATTACCACACAAACTACAGACGGACAGCATGCACCACTACGCAATTAATTCCACAACCCTAATTCTTGTCGTTGGAGCCATCATATGGATGATATGGAAAGTAAAGCAAGTAAAGCGTCCAGAAGTCAATCAGCCAACACAACCTCTCACACCAAACGCGATGCCACGAACAAGATTTACTTTGGAGCCTGAAACAATTACATAGCTTCTCAAATTCTCATGATGCTATAAACTCTAAATTTTATATTTTTAAGTTTATATAATATTGTATAACTATTTATTGTTTAAAAATTATATGTGTATTAATATATCCACAAAATGTTGTAATTATTTTAAAATTTTGTCTGTTGATTTTAAAAAAAAAAAAAAAACACATAACGCATGGCAAATCAAATCAATCATTGCTCATAGATTCATTCTTGAATAACGTAATTCAAGCCGGGCAGAATGTTAAGTTTAACAAACCTAACATATTTTAGCTCGCTTGTAGTTACACTTATGCAGCAAATAAATATTGTAAATATTAAATACATTGTTTATGTTTATAAGTTCAATAGCTTTACATATTGTATTTATGCCTATGCAGCAATATGTGAAATTTAAATTATTATTTTAGTCATCAATAATTGTAAATATTATTATGCATAGTAAGTAATTCTATACTATATAAGGTAACAATATTGATAATAAAACTTGAGAGCGAAAACAATCGTCTTTACTTCAAAATCAAAATTTGGTTATTGGTAGATGTGCCTTTTAACCACTGTAGCAATAAATAAAAATTATTTACTTACTTGGCTAGCGGTTTATGTGCCTGCAAGCCTTTCGTCATAAATACCTGATTATTGGTTTATGTGCCTAATAGTCAGTGTGAACGAAGTAAGAAAATACAGTATTTGATACCACCTCAGATTACGTGGTATACACGCCTGTAATAAAAGTTGTTAAGTAATATTAAAAACATTAAGTTAACCAACTCACCGAAATCCACTCCCGAAGCTACAGAACTGGTGCACTGGACATAGCCTGAAATTACATGAAGATAATTTGTGATATATATATATGTTAACCTACATCCGAAACGTACAACTGGGCACCTTAAAATTTTTAACAACATGTGGTCACCTAACCTATGTTTGACAGAAAATGTCACAATCGAGTGAAGAGAATAACGGAAGTTCGATGGGTAGCGTCGTGTATAGATATTGTTTTAACTATGTGTATAAATATATTGTTTTAACTATGTGTATAAGAAATATATTGTTTTAAATAAAAACCAAAGTTTAAAGTTCAGAAGTGGGATTGAATCAATGTCCAAAAGGGGAGAAATTAAAACGTAAGTAATATTTGGCGCAGAAAATTAAAAAACAAACGAACGCATATATATACGTAATGATGGTGACCATCGAAACACTGACGAAGGAACAGTTGAAGGACTTCTTACAACAGCAAGAGTTATCAACTACAGGTAATAAGGCAGAATTAGTTGCACGATTAACTGAACACGTGAAGGCAAGCGGCGTAGTTTTACAATTTACGAACGATAATGATGAATTGCGGGGTGAAAACGAAGAATTGAGAAAACAAATTAGCGAACTGCGGCAAATGGTGCAACAAGTGGCCATTAACCAGAATAACGGTAGAAACAATCAAAACAGTACTTCAGAAATGCCTAGCAAGGACCGTAACGCGCATTCTATACGAGAAATCGCAGAAGTCCTACCCGAATTCGACCCAACGAATGAAGATTCTATTACGGCTACGCAATTTGTCGAACGTGTTGAAGCTGTTATGTCTGTATATGCGTGGCCCGAAAAAAGTGTGCTTCTTGCAGTGTATAGCCATTTGAAGGGTGTAGCGCGCATGTGGGTGGACGCATCACCAAAAATGCATGCTACTTGGAAGGAGTTCTCAAATGAGCTTGTCACCGAGTTCGGTTGCGAATACGATGAAGCGGATATACATTACAATATGTCGCGCGTTGCTCGAAGGCAAAACGAAACAATAACTGAATTCATTTTTCGTGTCTCTGCGCTAGGACGACGTCATAATCTTAGTGAGATGGCTATCACGAAATACGCCCGAGACGGATTAAAACATCGAGAACTACAAATGGCGATTGCTCCGCAAAAATTCGTATCCGTTAAAGAAATGCGTGAAGCATGCGAGAACTTTTTACAAAATTGCATGAAGATAAACGAAAAGCCTTTTCATAATGCGGGTGAAAGCGAACAAAGAATACAATCGCTCAGTAAGGCAAAGAATGTTATATGTTACAATTGTGGTGAGTCAGGGCACTTGTCAGTAAATTGTGCAAGACCCTCAAAACGTCCTCGTTGTCTAGATTGTAATAAGGTGCACCCCAAAAATGAACAGCAAAATTGCGGAAAACCATCAGCTTACGTGCGAAAAACAAGTATTATCGACAATAAGTTTCTTAAGAAAATAACGATTGGTGGCAAGCAAGCCATTGCATTTATTGATACTGGAAGCGAATGTAATATGGTCCGAGAAACATTTGCCAACGATATTGGTGGTACGCGCAGCAAAAACCTATTTACCATCAGTGGATTCGGTGGAGGTATAGAACGATCTGAGATACAAATCGACACGGATTTGAAAATCGATGAAGTTGAAAAACCGTTGACGTTGCACGTCTTCAAAGATCGTGTGTTGAATTACGATTTATTGCTCGGGGACGAAATATTTAATAGCGAAAACATACGCGCCGTATATGACAACGGACAGTTCAAATTCGAAGACAAAGTAAAAACGACGTGTAAAATTAATAAACTTAGTCCAATAACGGAGGATGACGTGTGTATGGACACTGTAAATTCAGATTCTAAGGGAAAGCTGTTAGAGGTGATGAATGAATTCCGAGAATGTTTCACTACAGGTATGGATGGAATCGGTAAAACTAGTGTAGTCGAAATGAAAATTGAGTTAACGACCAACGAGGTAATCGCACAAGTCCCGTATAGAGTTCCGGAACCGAAAAAAGAAATCGTTGCGAAGAAAATTCAAGAGTTGCTCGACAATGATATTATAGCTCCGTCTGAATCAAGTTATGCGAGTCCAATGTTGCTTGTGAAGAAAAAGAATGGCGAACATCGACTTTGCGTGGACTACCGTCGGATTAATCAATTCACTCGAAAAGAATGCTACCCAATGCCCAATATCGAAGAAAGTTTACAAGAAGCAACGAAGTATCGAATCTACATATCGTTAGATCTTAACTGTGGTTATTATCAAATTCCTATAGAACGTAACAGTCGTAAATATACTGCAGTTGTGGTTCCTGATGGTCTATACGAGTTTAAACGGATGCCGTTCGGGCTGAAGAACGCACCAGTCCTGTTTCTACAATTGATGGCGAAAATTAAAACGCGCTTGGAACCCAGCGATATGATTCACTACATGGACGATATGCTTGTCGGCGGCAACGATGAAG